TTCAAAAAACTAAGATCATGGCATCCAATTCCATCACTTCATGGCAAATAGAAGGGAGAAAAGTGGAAGCAGTGAAATTTTATTTTCTTGAACTCCAAAATCACTGCAGACAGTGACTGCAGCCTTGAAATTAAGATACTTGCTCCTTGGAAGGAAAGCTATGACAAACGTAGACAGTGTATTAAAAAGCAGAGACATTACTTTGTGACAAAGGTCCATATAGTCAGCTATGGTTTTTCCAGTAGTCATGTACAGATGTGAGAGTTGGGATCATCATGAAGACTGAGTGCCGAAGTATTGATACTTTCAAATTGTGTGCTGAAGAAGACTCTTGAGAGTCCCTTGGACTGCAAGGAGTTCAAATCAGTCAATCCTAAGGGAAATGAACCCTAAATATTCATTGGAAGGACTATTAATGAAGCTGAACCTCCAACTCTTTGGCCACCTGATGCAAAGAGCGGACTCATTGGAAAAGACCCTGATGCTGGGAAGATTGAAGGCAAAAGAGGGCAGCAGATGATGAGGTGGTTAGATAGCATCACTGACCCAATAAATATGAATTTGAGAAAATTCCTGGAGATAGTTGAGGACAGAGGAGCCTGGCATGCTGCAGTTCATGGGGTCACAGAGTCGGACATGACTGAGCAACTGAACAACTACAACAATGCCTATAGGGGACAGACAGCAACAGACAATTAGAAAGAGGAGGTCTGGGACCTTAGGGAGTGGTGGGGGCTGTGGCACATTGAAGAGCACATGTCCTGTCCAGAGGTGTAAGTGCTTTGGAAGTCCAGTTCCTTTCAGCCGTGTGGAATGCAGCACTTCCTAATATGGCCAGATCTGATTTTGAAGGAAAACTGAAAGCTAGTTTTTATATGAAATCACTTATTGGTATTTAATTCTAGTGTTTTGTTTGCCGTTGTTACTGTTTTTTAAATGCTGTAGGACCAAACAGAATATGTCTGCATTTTGGGCTTCTGGCAACCATTTCATTTCGTTTGCTTTTATAAGAAGTAACTGTGTAGGACACTGCACTGAGACTTGATTTTTGACATTTCTACGTGAAAGTTGTTTAATCCTGAACAAGTTGCTTGATTTCTGCTTTTGGCTTTTTTTCTTAAAAGCCACTTGACCTTGAACAAGTTGCTTTTCCTTCTTAGAACCTCAGTTTGTCCTCCATGTGAGAAGGGCAGGGCCGGTCAATCTTGAAGTGCCTGAGTCTGCAAAATCTATGGTTGTGACACTGTTTGCATTTACACTCATACCTCTTTTTATTATGCTTGTCTTTACTGCACTTTGCAGACCCTGCATTTTTTTTTTTAAACAAATTGAAGGTTTGTGGCAAGCCTATTCAAGCAAGTCTATCTCATTTTTCCAGTAGTATTTGGTCTCTTCATGTCTCTGTGTCACATTTTTCTAATCCTCACAGTATTTCAAATATTTGCATTATTATTATATTTGTTATAGTGATCTGTGATTAGTGATCTTTGATGTCACTCTTGTAATTCTTTTGTTTTTTTTTTGCAGTGGATTTCTTTCTAATTACAGTATGTTCATTATGTTTTAGACATGATGCTGCTATTGTGTATAGTATATATAGACATATATATATATAGTATATATAGACGTGGTATGGTGTAAACATGGGAAAGAAAAAATTTCATGTGACTTGCTTTATTGTGATACTGCTTTACTGAAGTGGCCTGGACCCAAACACAGAACCCAAGATCTCCTGTGAGCACTTTGTTTGTATCACTCAGTCTCTGTCTTAGTCCCTTTGGCCAGTGAACAAAGGCTTGTTTTAAGTCAAAGAGTTCTTGAAAGAGGCCTCTCTACGCCCACATAGAATCATTTTAGATATGGGTTTGAAAGTTACAAAAGAAGACTCAGATCTGCTGGTCTGCCCTGGGCTAGGTGAGGAATATGCACAAAGCTATGTAGATTTTAGTGACTTTTCTGAGTTATAAAGCAGCTTTCTTTTTATATAGAGTTGGAAAATGGTATTGTAGTAGCTAGGCAGACATGATTCACCCTAACTATGAACTGTTTCTTCCCTTATCACCAATACGATCAGGTCATTAAAGCAATTAAGGTCCTTGGTGCCAACAACCATCAGAATCCCAAATGGGAGTGGCTATTGCTCGAAGGATTTCAGCAAATCAGTCTCTTCATGATCTGTACTGAGTTAAGATCAGCCTTCTCCTCAAGTTTGGCTCTTGGTTGCTATTTACATTAAAAAGTGGTTACTTAATCTGGTAATTTATTTCAGCAAATATTGCATAAGCCATCTGATATTTTAAACAATTTAAGCTCCAGAGGTAACAGCCCCATAAACGGTGTGTGTTAGTGTGATGCTATATGGAACATAACTTAAGAAGAGCACTTTTCCAGCTGTAGTTGGATATGTGGGTTGGTGTTTCAGCAACCTGCATAATCAGCACAAAGCCCAGGTCGTTAGAGTCTGCTGGCAGGAATCAGAAAACCTGCAAATCACTGGGAGAGTCCAAAAGTGCCTGGATGCAAGTGGTCCTCTGGAATCTGACTGTCTGTTGAAAGCAGTATGGGGGACCATGACTTCCCAGGCAGGAATGAACAGCTGGCCTTGTTCCCACCAGAGAGCCTGAGGCCTTCACCAGCACGTTACCTGCAAGCCACATCCACAGGTTCAGTGCATCTGATGATGTCACTTTTCTATTTAAAACCAACCCAGAGCCTCCCAGTCCACTTGGAATAAGCTGCAGATTCCTTGCTGTGGCTGGCAAAGCCTTCGTGGTCTTATTCCCACCTCTCTCCCTGGCCTGGTTACTGTCACTGCTCACTTCACTTTGTCACTGTCCCTCTTTTCACTCAGCTGCAGCCTCATTGGCTGTAATGCTGGTCCTTAAACATTGTGACTTGCTTTTTACCTCAGGGCCTTTGCACTTGCTGTTTCCACCCCCTAGAAAGCTCTTTGCCTAGATCCCCTCGTTGCCTGCCCCTTACCATCATGCTCCAGTGCTCTGTGCTCTTGTTTTTCTTTTCAGATAGGACCTCCTGGACCATCACAGATAACGCACCTCCCTAGTTAGTCTTTAACCTCTTAGGTATTTTATTTTTTGCACAGTATTTGTCCTTATTTGGAAATGTATTATGTATTCACTGGTATATTTGCTCATTGCCTATCTACCCCAATATAAAATAGGTTTCACTGGGGACAAAGGTGTTATATATCCTGCCAGGTATGAGCTGGGGACTTAGGGCAAGTTACATGGGCTTTCTGAGCCTTAGTTTCATCACTTGTAAAATAGAACCATCAATGTGTGCTGAGTTGCTCAGTCGTGTCTGACTCTTTGCGACCCCATGGACTGTAGCCCACCAGCCTCCTCTGTCCATGGGGATTCTGCAGGCAAGAATACTGGAATGGGTTGCCATGCCCTCCTCCATGGGTTCTTCCCAATCCAGGGACTGAACCCAGGTCTCCCCCATTGCAGGCAGATTCTTTACCAACTGAGCTACCAGGGAAGCCCAGAAACACCAATGGAAGTCTGAATAACTGGGATCATATCTCCCTCTTAGGGATATTATGGGGATGAAATGAGAACACCAAGAGCCTGACCTGTGACTCAGCACCTTCTCCCCCTCACAGTGCTGAAGCTGAATAACCATCAACTCATTTCTCGGTCTATCAGTGAACCAATGTTTTTCTATCTAAAAGTCCTTAAAGCATGAGTGATAATGCCCATTTAGGAAACTTGTGATACATAATGTATATAATTCTTTGTTAGTTTATGTGAGCTTTTATTTCTGTGAGTTTACAAATATATGTTTTCACTGTATCAGGTTATTTACATCTTTGTACCTACAAGATGATATTCATTGATCTACCTTGAAAAATTCTTCAAAAAGTCATTTTGAATGCTAGTACTATACTGTATGCCATTTTATCTTTACCTTTTTATTGGACATTTAGGTTACTTTCAGTTTTTTTACTCTGTATTAGTAGTACTTCCATGAGCATCTTTATGCATAAGTATTTTACTGAACTTTTTGTTGTTGTTGTTCTCTTAGAACCGAACACGAGTAAGCAGAACTCATTCATTTCTTGAGTTTTCTGTATCAGGTTCAATGTACAGCACTGTGGGGAATTCCAAACAAGTCCATAACTCTTGAAGAAGTTGTACTGGTTGAGGAGATAAAGTTCAGACACATGAAACAGTAGGAGGCAACCACAGTGGGTATAAAATCAACTAAGGGCTAAACGATGTGGTTGCACGCAAGGTGCTGGAGGTGTTCTGAGGTAGAAAATCAGAGAGACAGTTGTCTGAGAAGGCCTACATGGAAGGTCCAATTTGACTTGGGCCTGGAGATTGGGTTGGGAGCAGAGGAGGCTTTCTGGGGTAGGAACCGTGTGAGTGAAGACCTGGAGGCAGGAGCCAGCCAGCCTCCATGCAGGCTGGGCTGCAGGTAGGAGCACCCGGCAGATGTGGTGAGAGAGCTTGGATGGAGCCAGGAGTAGCGGTGCCGTCATCATGTGCTGGGCACTTACACGGAGGCTAAGGGTTATTACCATCATTCCAGGCGCACAGGGGTCTGTTCGGAACAACAATATGAGCCATTTGTACAAAAGACCAAAATGGAATCCAAATAACAGGTCCAGCTGCTCCAAATACCTCCCTCCCCCTGCAGTTAACATTTTACTACCCGACCGAGTAACTAATGAATCTGGCCCAACATAAATCCCCAGGCAGAAATCCCTGCTTGGGGTGTGTGTCTAGACATCCAGACCTGAGTGCAATTTGCACTTTGAACATTCAGCACCTTATCACTTGTGAGAAATCAAGTTTAATGGGGAGGATGGGGAGGTGTGGCTCCTAGCCCCCTCCCTCTGGCACACAGACTGTCAAATAGGGGTCCCTTGGATAATGGCCGCATCAGGAGATGGAAAGGTCGTAACAGTGTTTGTGGTGTGGCTCTGGTCATTTGGAAGCACTGACTGGGAAGCACTTTCCGTCTCATTTCAGGCTGTGTTTTGTGAAGCTCAAGCTTCTCATGATAGCCATTGAGTACAAGTCCGCCAATCGAGAGAGCCGGTAAGTTCGCCGTGACCCAGCGCCCAGCTGACGTTTATGATGGTGAGCATGCAGGCTGGGAACATTCGGTTCACTTCTTAATGCGTTATTTATTTGTTTGGAACCCTAATGCAGCACTTCTCTGACTTGAAGTCACATTTCAAGGCATATTTAACTAGACCCTGCCACTTCTATCCCAGACACACCTGGCATCCCAAACCCCACTGGAGAGACTGTTTCTCTAGGGAAAGGAGTGAGGCATCCAGATCTCCACCTGAGCACACCAACTTACACTTTTCACCCTTTAAATATAAAACTAGGGACAGACCCTGTCCTTAAACTCATGTTTACTGCTGTGAGCAAAAAGCAGATGGACTCTGGCCTCCTTCAAAGCAGGAATGGGGCAGAGCCGTGATGGGAGATCACAGCTCTCTTGGAGCCAAATTACAGCAGCCTATTGTGTACCATATGTGTTTCTCCCGGTGCAACTGAAATCCAGGTGGCAGAATATCAGCTTCATGTAAATTAGCCCAGAGAACAGTGCTTGGAGGCAGGAGCCCTCTTTATTTATTTATTTTGTACTTAATTATGTGCAAATCAGACTGATGAGGGACCGGGTCTGGTCGAAATAGATAACACTCCAGTCAATATATGAGTTTGTGCTGGAAGGAGGAAGCATTGCCATTAACAAGGAATTTTTGTTAGAGTACTGGATGCATTACAGATAAAAGAGAGATGACTTTTTGCTCCTCAATTCTTATCAATAGCTTTAGAAGAAGGAGAGCTTACTGAGAAGTGCTCAGGCTTATGTCCCTTGCATTGACATCCATGTTAAAAAGTTTACCTGTGGGTGTCCAAAGGAATGGTGGAAATATCCTCCAACATATGCCTTATTAACTAATTGTGAGGCAAAACTAGAAGGTTCCTGCTATCATCATTTAAGGAGATTCCATTTTCTGAGTGAATGACTCAATAAAGCCAGACTTTCAAATATGTAGCCCATGTCTCTATGACCCAAACACAAGCAAACAAACAAACAAAATCAAACACTGGATTGTAAGCCAGTCAATCCAATGTTCTTTGTTACCTTAACCACCAGATCAGATTGCTCACAAAGTCAATCTGATCACATATTAAACTATTTTGAATATCCAAATCAACCAAAAGGAAGACAAAATGGTAGATTTGGTGGCCACATGGTAGACCATGGTCTTAGCAGTTGACAACTATTTATGTAGATGTATGTTTTTCTTCTCTGTGCTGGCAAAGTGAAGAATATTGTTTGCAAAACACCCAAGAGTTCTTGGCTATTTGCTGTTCAACAGATAAAATGGATGTTTCTGGGACTGTTGCTTGCCCAGATTGTTGCCAATATACCCCTGTACCTGTGTAGGGGAAAATGTGTATCCTCGGTTTCTGCAAATGATATTCTCATGTTGCCAAGTTAGTAAATCTTTGTATAATTTAGTGTTCTCTATCACTTCTATGCATCTTTAAGGAAAAAAAATGGCATCATGTGGGTGATGCTGAAGAGTGTTTCTCAGCCATTCTGGAATAATTCCATGGCAGGAGACTGTACCCTGAACCTTAACAAGCCATCTCCCACCTGCCACTTTTTGTTAACTAAGGAGGGAGAGAGAAAGACTGTTAACGGTTTCAATGTGAATCCACCGTCACCATTCTAAGAAAAAGAACACAGTGCTCTCCCTGAAGGCACAATCTTTTATTTGATAGATGCTCCAATTAATTCACAAATCAGAGATGTTTTCAACAAAGCCATATTTGTACATACAGGGAGCTTTTAGAATTTCCTTTTTCAGAAGAGGGAGAAAAGAACCGATAAGACCTGGGTTTAGCTTTCTGTGTATAGCTGCCAGCTTTAATCCTCAAACGTGGCTTGGTCTCAGTGTGGAAGCACATTGGTTCTTGTGGAAAAAGGTGTGTTGGAGGGAATGTGGATCATGCCTCCGAGAAAACACAGGACTCAAACACAATATCCGTGTTAAAAAGGACTGAGCTTCTGACCCTTCCTGAGATAATCATTTTGATTTTGTTCTCCATTTAAAAATGTCCCATTTGCCTTCCTCTCCCATTTCCTAAGTGACTGGGTGTTAAAATTCAGAGGACCGCCCCGCACTTCTCTTTTCCACCCCTACCCCGTGCCTCTGACCTGTGTGAACTGCCTCCTTTGTTGCTGTTTCACCCCCATGATACTGTTCCCATGCTTTGCCAGAAAACCTTGTTTTCACAAGCATCCTTGAAATAACTTGAAACAAAGGTTTTATTCCTTCTTTCCTTCTGGTGTCAGTCAATTGATTATCCAATTGTTTGATTTTCAATTCTTTTCTTGTCGTTTTGCAGAAGCCGAAAGCGGTATGCTCTCTTCGTTAACTTTCCTCCCAACTTGCACCCTCCGTCTTCACGTCTAACCACAGGACTAACCCTTTGCCAAGAATTCAGGAAGATAGAGATTATATATATGTGTATACATATATATAATCTCATTCCCTTGTCTAGCCCCGTATATACATATATATGTGTGTGTATATATGTGTTTTTATATACAAACTTCTCTCCAACCAGAGTCCATCAAAACTGAAAGTAGCATATTGCTTTTCTTGTTTGATTTGTTGATTCTTTTGGATCATGCACTAACTTCTTTGCAGGAAACCTACACAAAACAAAGGCCCAATCCTGTTTTCAGTCATGGCACCAGCGATGGGAACAAATGCTCGCAGAGCTGACAAAGGAGAATGCTTCTCTCCAGCCCTTGGTGTCTGTTTCTGTCCTGTCTTCATGTGTTTTGGTGCCGTTTGTCTGCATACCACATCCACATTCCCAGTGACCTCCTCCGCCCTATGTCTGGCTTCCAGTTTGTAGAGACAAATGTGTGTCCTTTTGTCCACAAAACAGAGACCAAGCCCTTACACTTAACTCTCTTTCCTTATGCTAATTTTGATGCTTTCTCCCTGGGCCAGTACTCAGTACAGACTTAGAATGCTGCTACTCAATTGCCAGGTCGTCACATTTGATTTACTGAATGAGTACTGTTTATTGAGATGAACTCATGTTACTCTTTCTTCCCAGTGTGTTTGGGCATATTTCTTAATATGATGTATCTCAATTTCCACCATGTGACCTCACCCTGTTTTGCTGCTGTTTTATGTTGCACGAAGCATGACCAAATCCTCATCGATAGATTTTTTTTTTCCCCCCAACTCTTTGGGTTAATATTTGCAGTGTTGTTTTCTCAAAGACAGTGTTGTTGAAACATCCTATTGAGACGCCTCCTTGTTCATCTTCTCTAGAGTTGTTTTGTTCTGTGGTTGTAGTCATTGTCGTGTGTTTTTGTTTGTAATTGTGTGTGTGTGTGTGTGTGTGTGTACCTATCTATCTGACACTCTTTCCAAAATCAGATTCTTCTGTGATTTTCTTGAGTAGAGGTGGCTTCCTGTCAGTTTGGTATTATTGATATGATCCAACTGCAAGAAGTTACTGCAACACTTTGCATCTTCAAAGGTCCACAGTGGTTGCGCCCCTGCTGTTGGCTTTTGGCCTTTGAGCCCTTTTATCTTGTGGTGAGGCATGTTGTGATATAGGCATGACTTGTCCTGAAGTGTATCAGAAAGTGACATGGTTTGCTCCCAGAACCAAATATCCAGCATGGTCCTTCCCAAATGAACTCTCTTTCCCATCCCATATGGCTCCTGTTTTCCTTATGTGCAAAATAGATTTTAAAATGACATTTCTAAAATTACTGAGATGGATTCAGGCTAAACAAGCCCTTGGCCCTGTCATTGGCAGACCACAGAGGTGGTCATTTGAGTGTGGCCAACTGGGAGCAATCTTTATGATGCTGTCTCTGTGTGAGTGAATTGGGCTCAAACATATTGAAGCATGGAATACACACCGTGCCCTTACATATATTTTGTAGGAAAAATGCATGTGTCCAGTTGTATGGGACTCTAGCAGAATATATTTTAAACCCAAGAAGAAATGAAAAGTTCCAGAAAGGCAATAAGATTTGTGATTTGGGGTTTCTTTAGGCTGTGCCTGAACATAGCCCATAAACTGCAGAGCAACCACTGGTCAAACCAAGTCCCGTCTAATAGCAATCTCTGTGACCTTGTGTGGTCAGAAAGATCACTCCCCAGTGGCATGATTCATCTGGGCACAGCGTGAACTAAAGTGCTAGATGGTCCTTATCTTTTTGCTCTAGTTCATGAAGTCCCATTAGCTTGCTAGACACAGATATAATTACCATGTTATCAAGTACAAACTGTTTTCTCATGTGAGTGATATTTTTGTAATTGCTCAGGGAATGGTACGCTACACCTATCAAAATTGAGGGGAGGGAGGAGAGAAATACATACCTGTCATATTTATCCATAATGGATAAAAAGTTCGCTTTAAAAAAATGTGTTTCAGTTGAATGACTAATCCTTGGTTGCCCCCAAAAATAGCGACCAAGTAAAGTTTATGATGATTGAAGAAGGGATAACTAGATGTTTCCCAGTTGTTATGTGTAAGTTGTGGAGAAAGGGAACAAATCATTTTGCTGTCAAGCCCCAAATCCCTAGGATCAATCTCCTTTGATAGGCCCAACTGGTGAGAATTGCCGCTTGGTCTTTGGAAGAACATCTGTGACTACCTTTCTCTTTAGAGAAGGAAAGAGACACTTCTGTAACTGAGGCCACTGCTTATGGTTTTCATTCATTCAAGAGAGTTGAAATGTGCCTATTGCAGGCAGGGCTTTAAGCTGATTGCTATGAGAAACTTGCTTATAAAAGTAAATAAAATAAGATTATGGTTTTCAGTCTTTTATTTAATTATGGTTTCCCTACAGAAAATAAGTATTTGCTCCATAGAGTGTATAGGGAACCAAAAAATAAGTCTAGATACAAACCTAGGAAAAAGAGAGGGAGAGTAAGAATCCTTGGGGAGGGGGTCACACCGGCCCTTTGCCTCCAGCTGTTACTGAATGTTTTCAGTTGAAATTAACAAGGTTATAGAAAAAAAAAAGATCATTTATAGTTCCTTGAATTAAGAAAAAGTCCACCCCTGCCAAGAAGATGTCCCTATTGGAATTCTGCTAATTGATATATAGGCTTTTTTTTCTTAGAGATTTCCTTGATTCTTCACATGACACATCTTGAAGTTTATCTCTGATAAGCTAGTGAATTAGACAAAATTGGAGCAAAAGCCGATTTAAAGTGAGGCACAGGGAGGGAGACTTTTGGCAGTCATAAAAGCCAAACAAACGTAACATCTTTTGAGATCAAAGATCTTTGGAAAGATTTACATATTCCCATTAGAAGGTCAATAGCATATTCTAAGGGTAGCAAGCATTTGGCAGGAAAAAAAGTTACTTCTGTCTAGGATCCTTATCTTTTTATAGTTTGAAAGAGAGCAGGATTTAATGGATTTAAACTTTCTAGATTTGGAATGTGGATAGAAGACTCACTGTCTAAAATATCAAAAAGAGTGATAGTTTTCCTTAAAGAGACTTTGAAGCTTTGTACCCTTACACAGAAAGTATTATATGCAATGGTCCCCTGAAATCAGGGGCACATGCATCTTTACCCAACCCTTAAATCTGTGAGTGGAATCCAGCACAACAAACTTCTTTGTGTATCTAGATGTCTTTCCTTCATTATTCTCAAGAGCTGAGCTCAGTCTTTTGATTCCCGCCCAGAAGGCTGCCTTAGCCTGAGCAGGATACTGCAAATGATGCAGCCTTAAGTCTCACACAGAGATGATGTGAAGCCTCCCCTCCTGTCCAAAAGAGAACAAGAGGGCATCCTAGAATCACACAGTCAGTGATGCCCTTGGAGGTGCTTACAGTGCCTTACACAATCAGTTGTAAGATTTCAAGAACAGGGGGATAGTCCACTGTGCAGCCAAAAGCCAGTCCAGATGAGCCCATCTCCAGGTATGGCATGGGCATAAAAATGCTTTGGATATCTCAGTCAGTACAGAGGTCTTCCAGTACCAGTAAGATGCCTCCTAGGTATTTCATTAGCACCAAAGATCAAACGGAGAGCAGTGATGCTCTGAGAAATTGTCTAGCTCTTGTTTAGTTGTCACTACCTTGCTTACTAATAACAGTGACCATGTATTAAGGACCTGCTTTGTGACCCCTCAGCACATAGTATGTATGTTATGTACTTTAATTCTCTTTGTGACACTGTAAGCTAGTGATTATTGCCCCCATTTTACAGATGAGGAGAGTGAGGTTTATCAGCAGGTCCATGCCCAAGGCCAGGACCTGAGCTTGACTGTCTGACACACACACCTGTTCCCTTAACCAACACAGGCATTGAAACAGATTTGAACACCAATGTGCCTTACATCAGTGCCCAAAATCTTTCCTCTCCGCCACACTGACTTGACGAAAGCAAGCTTGAAGGCTGTAATAAATTATCTCAACCTGCTGTCTCCAGAATGACAGTCCCAAATCCTCACTGTACGCCAATTCTTATTCACTGTTGCTAAAGAACAAAGGAAATGAAAAGAAACTTTCCATTGATAGGAACCGTGACACAATGGGCTTGATCACTGGAGTGCAATTAATGAAGCATATGATGCAAAAAAAAAAAAAAAAAAGAAACAGGGTTTTGTGTGAGGCTTGTTTTGCTCCTACATGTCACCTAGACATTGATGAGTGTCAAATTTCCCCTTTTGAATTGCATTGTTAAAACTACGATAGGATTTCTTTTTCACTCAGAAGCTTCTTTTACATCCTTATATGAATACACATCAAAATGTAGGCTTATTCAACTTCAAGGAATTAGTTCCTTTAAACTCCAGGAGGACTCAGAATTTTCATGTATATTCCTGTATATTATTCTGGAGTGTACAGTTCTTCTCCCTATAATAACTTTATATAATTATGGGCAAGGTATTTTGGCATGAAGTTCTATGTTCCATTCTATGGGGCCAGCTAAAGTGATGATTTCATTAAAAATGAAATACACTTTTGGCTTTTTTGCAATAAAAAAAAACTAATATACATTAGCTTTCTATGCATCATCTCCCTTAATCCTTTGAAAAAAGTAACACAGACTATGCTTATCTTCATCTTGTATGTGAGGAAGTTGAATTCTAGGGAGGATTAGTAACTTGCCCAAAGTCAGACAGTAACTGAATGGTGGGGTTGGAATTTGGACCCAATTTCTTATTGCAGAACTAGGGCATGGGAGAACTGCCATACAGCACAGTCATGAGGATAAGAAAGTGTGCAAAATCCAGTCTTCTGCTTTTCTAAACCATCCCATTTAATTGACTTTGAAATAGGGACCCATCGAAACTGTGATAAGTTCTGACCCTCTTCCTCTATAATGGTGAAAAGTCAGAGGGCTGCTAAACCAAGGTGAAGAGTGGCTGAAGGGTGTGTTCAGGAGGTGCCTGTATGGAGCTCCTGCCCCTTGCAAACTGTGCTTTAGTGTGACCTGCTGCTTCCTGACTGGTGAGGAATCTCACTGTTGCCTGTGGTTCTAGGGCAGAACACTCAAATCTTCATAGACACTTGCTATCATTTAGTGTTAATCACAGTGATCTCACAGAATCGGTTTCCTCCTGTCAGGTCTTGTTATTGGTAATAATCAATGCTTCTGTGACCGCCAACATTTTGCAATAATGATCTGCTCTGTGTTCTCCAAAGAGAACAAAAGTTCACCTGGGTCCTTCCTGTCTTGCTACAGATGCATTACTGTGCTGGCCACGGCACTTTGGAATGGTTTTACCAGCAGTAAAAGATGACATCTTAAATGCCATCCTCCGTTTTGATTGTTTTAGACAGTTGAGGAGTTCCTTTAGCCTGATTCTAGACATCTATTACCATAGACACCAACTTTTCAGATCAAAAAATAACTCTGTGGCATCTAGTGCTGTATTTACAATGCCTCAGTTCTGTGTCCCTTAAGCTCAAAGCCTCATCTCTGTCTCTATGTAAAATAGTCTGTATTCTGCTTTTGATCTGAAGACAGTTAAGTTTGTTTGTTTCATCCATTTATTAGATTAGGATACATTTATCTCTCTGTCAGTCCAAACACAGCTTGGTCAGCTAATCTATTTATACAACTTTGAAATAGGACAGTGTATATTTAGGTTTATACTTCCCCCATGGGGGAAGTTTTTTTTAGGGATAATTTTCATTTGTTTTTTCTAATTACAAGTTGGCCCCAATCAGGATATACTAGACACATACGTTATTCAAACACTCCCATACATTTTTGTAAACAGCAGAGTGGAATCACTAAGTATTTCCAATTGCTGGCATTTTTTTTTTTTTCTCATTGTCAGGGTAGATGCAATTCTTTCTACCTAGGCTGCAATGGAATCCACTTCCACATCCGTATCAACGTTATGCAGATATGCTGTTTGCTTCTACGTTGGTTACAGGCATCCCGTACCATTCCCTGTAGTAATGTGTGGTGTGTATACATGTATGTTTCTGTATGCATATAGGGGTCCCATTAATACCCTGATCTAATGGAAAATCAGTGTAGTCATAGCTCTGTTAGACCAATAACACTCAACACTGACCATCAACAGTAATTTCCAAAACAATACATGATTAGGAACTTTGCCTCAAACCAGAAGCCCATGGCAATCCCATTGTACAAACTCAGCCCTAAAATCTGGATTTGCTTTGATATCTGCAACTGGAGTGTGCCAGCCTGGGAACCTGGCAGCAGAACTTTATGATGGCATCATCCAATTAAATGTGGAGGGCCGTGGAGATCAGGCTCTAGACAAAATCTTTGGGGAAAGCATTAGACTAGTGGGCCCCCTATAAAGTTAACAAAATGGTGTAGTCTTTAAAGTTTTCTTCAGAACATGACCTCATAACTATGTCTTTTTGTTTGTTTTTGTTTCACTGAGCAGTATATTAATTAATCCTGGAAACCATCTTAAGATCCAAGAAGGTACTTTAGGATTTTTCATCGCAAGTGATGCCAAAGAAGTTAAAAGGTAAGAGTTTATTTTCACTTGCCTTTGTTTTTGGCTCAGCTGTACCTATCTCCATGCACTGAGATTTGCTTTCAGTGTCTACTGGGCCCTAACCCCAGAAGTGCTTAACATGTCTGTTTCCATCAAATGGTGCTGAACCTTAGGAAAAAGAGATTGTGCTTTGACGTGCTTTCATGGACTCCTCATCACACAATGAGTTCCATACCTTTGAGTTAGAATAATGACATTTTAGACCTGGGAGACCCTAGATATCTGGTCTTGCATTTTCCAAGTGAAGAAAGTGAGTCTCAGGGAGATTAAGCGATTGTTCAAGATCATCCTAATTCCTGATGACCCAGGACAACATAGGACAATAGCCCCTCATCTAGTGCTCTTAACATTATCCAGGCAAATTTGCTTGAGAAGTCTCCATTTTCTACTTTAAGTGTCAAATGGAATCTCAAAAAAGTTTGGATTAATTTCAGATGAAATGCCAAACTGGCTATATTTCTATTGGTGGCCTTTCTGGATGAGTGGCTGACTTTGTCAGGTTTAATCTTAAGCCTCTGTAGGTACAATCCAGGATTTCATTGGCCTCAGTGTTTCACGATACTTTTGTTCATATTCTCAAACCTGTTTAAACAGCCCAGGAAATCATAGGACTTTTTGCAGAATACCATGGAGTATTGTTATATTTGATTTTAGCCTGTAACTAGAAAAAATTTACTGAAAGAAAAATGTGACTCAGATGGTCAGAAAGGTCACTCAGCTCAAGGACAGTGTTACATAAAATATCCTAAATAAATGATGAATTGTTCAGGTGTGTCATTTTTATATTAAGCCTATTGTCTTCACTAGGCTTCCTAGGGGCTCAGTGGCAAAGAATCTGCCTGCCAATGCAGCAGACACAGGTTTGATCCCTGGATTGGGAAAATCTCTTGGAGGAGGAAATGGCAACCCACTGCAGTATTCTTGCCTAAAAGAGTCCCATGGACAGAGGAGCCTGGTGATCTACAGTCCATAGGGTCACAAAGAGTCAGAAATGACTTAGCAACTGAGCATAAGAACATTGTCTTCATCCAGTGACCTCCTATTCAAAGTCAGGCTGGTGCTGGGTATTCTACAGTCCTTGTTTCTAGTCCTCAAAATAACCTGGTGAGGTTGGTCTTCTGAAATTCTCCAGGCTTCAGTTTCCTCATCTGTGAAATTGAGACAAATGATTTGTACAAGGCCATGCAGCATATAAGCAAGTAGCAGAGCCCAAGTGGAATTGGTCTTTCCTTTTCTAAGGAAATTTTCGACCACAGAAACACTAGCAAATTCGTTTGCAGAGTTCCATGTGTGCCAGCTGTGTTCCAAGTTACAGATAGCAGACACCAATGAACTCATTTAATCCTCTCAACAGACTGTGAGACAGGGAGCATTGCTACTGACATTTACATGTGAGGAAACTGAGGCACAGATTAATTAATTAACTCACCCAAAGCCACAGGGCTACTGGGTCATAAGGCCAGGGTTTAAAACCAGTAAGTCCCATTCCAGAGCTTACATTCTTATTTGCCGAGAGGTGAACCTGCCATGCTGAGCACAGACCTGTGAGATTTGACAACTGACACTTGTTTTATTCCTCTTCATCCTCTCTTAAAAACTAGCCCTACTAGTTATAAAAGCTTTTAGGGGGACTTCTCTGGTGATCCAGTGATTAAGACTCCATGCTCCCAGTGCAGGGGGCATGGGTTCAATCCCAGGTTGGGGAACTAAGAGCCCGCATACCTTGTGGTACAGCCAAAAAAAAAAAAAAAACCTCAGGAAAAAAAATGGGGTGTAGAAGCTAAAGAAAAAAAATCCTTGAGACTGAGGTATCTAATGACTTAAATTTACTTCTGCAAATTGGGAAAGGATTGTCATTATTCAGGTGAAAGAGCAAAAGCTCCTTATCCAGTTCATAGAGCCTCACCTTTTCCAGAAGTACCCCCCAAACTGGGGTCACCTGCAAGAGGAAAGCGAGGCTACCTGGGACTGAAGCCCCTCTGGGTCTTCTGGGAGAGAAGGTTGATCCCTTGACCAGACACAAGACACAACAGCTGGAAGCAGTGCTCAGCACTGTGCATAGGGGCGCTGGGAGCACAGCGCACCATTGATCACACGTACCTCCCAGATAGCGAGTATAACATGAAGCTCCTATTTGGGTAATTCTATTTCCTATTGCATCTCTCACTAATGAATGTCACAAATACCAGGCAGTCCAAAAAACAAATTACCTCCTGTGTTAGGGAGTACAATATGTCTCATCTCAGTGCTTTATGGTGTTCACAAATACATGCTGACACAATCAGCCTCGACACCAGCCTGTAATTTTCCGTGGTGTGTGATGTGTCAAGACAAATGCTGTCAGGGGATTGAAAACCACAGAAAGGACATTGGAGGTTTGCAGGAAACTAAACAAATTTTGTAAAATGGAAAAGTAGATTATGATGATCTAGTGTTGAGTTTGCACCTTCCGTTGCAAAAAAGTGTTGGGAAAAAGTTAATGGATTGTAGCTCAGAGAAACTTTCTGATGTAGTGCTTTACGAAAGAGGGTTGAAACCCTCCAAGCATTATCTTACTCCTTCATTCATCAAACATCTGCAGGTCACTCGCTTTTGAGAACACTCTGTACTAGGTGCCAGGGAAGCAGTGGTGAACAGTGGGAAGGAGACACTGCTTTCATGGGCTCACATTCTAGGGAGGAGAGAATTGCACTTTTGTTTGTTCATGATGCAAATAATTAATGTAACTGTCACTGATTTAGATTGCCGGTAAGTGATGGCTGCTCTGAGGGAGAGATATTGGAGTGGAGGTGATGAAAAAGAATCCATTGAACAGGGATCAGAAGGGAAGAGGAGACATGGTGGTAACAATTTTATTGTGTTTAGGGAACCGAGGGGGAGAAAGTGGTTGAGATGAGGTTAGAGGGAACAGTGGGGGCTGGATTCCATAGGACTTTATACAGAGGCTGTGTTATTACATGGAATCATGGATGGTCTTAAGCTGGAGACAATGTATTAAAAGGTGTTTCCATCTGCATGGTAGAGAATGGGAGGTAGTGGGGGTGGGGGAGAGGAGGCCCATGGACTTGGGGGCTGCTGCATAGTTTAGGTGGGAAAGGATAATTTTGGCTCCGTTGGTGAGTAGAGGTGGAGAGGAGTGAGACCAATTCAGAATACATTTTACAGAGTCTGTAAGACCCTCTGATGATATAAGGATATAAGAAGTGAGAGGAAAAAGAGGAATCAAGAATGGAGCCTAGATCTGGAACTTACACTGCTGGGGGGGAATGATGGCTCCATCTTACCAAGATAGGGTAAACTGGGAAAGGAGCAAGATCAGGGTGGCAAGAAATTAATAATTCTATCTGGACTAGGATAAGTGGGCAATACACACTAAACATACACATGGACATGTCATACAGCCAGTGGGACCTAAGATTCTGGCATTCTGGGAAAAAGTGAGGGCTAGAGATGTTCATTTGGGTGGCTGCTATATCAGTGAGGGTCCTGGCCAGAAACAAATGACATCCTTAAATGGGAAAAGGAAGGAGAGTTTTATGAGGGGACCACGTAAAGCTATGGGCACAGAGTTAAGGAAAACTAGCAAGGGATGACAAAGCACCCCGGAGCTCACAACAGACGGGAGCCACTCTCAGCTCTGGATCTGCAGACTCAAAGGAGGGCTGTCAGAACATGGTGAGAAAGGTGGTGTAGGAAACACTGCTTGGCAGGAGGTGGGTCCTTCAGTAAAGGAATCTCATCACTGCCATTTCCTACCACTTTTCACCCTCCAGTCTCCTGCCGGCCCCTCCCATTCGCCAAACGCAACAGGAAACCTGAGGACAAGGAGACCCTAAAGGCCAGCTTTGCAGGATGCAGATCTGGTCTTGATGATAGATGGGGCAAGGTCACCAACTGGAGAAGGGGTGGGGTGAGGAGGAGAGGGAGTGGTGAGGAGAGGAGAGAGAGTTGACATGGGAGGAGGAGGTATGAGGTGGGGGATCCTGAGAAGTGTGAAAAGGTCCCTGGCATGCCCAACCATGGATTTAAAGTGAAATCAGTTGGCACAGAGGTGTGTTCCTCTCCCCAGCAAGGCTCAGCTGCTTGGGTACAGCTGTACAGAGGGGCAGGGCTTTGCCAGGTGAGCATGGGAGGCAGAGATGGGTGGGGAAGTGCAGAGAAGTGCCTCTTAGCAAGAATCAGCTGGAGCTTAGATACTCTGCCCTCTTTGGCTGAGGGGGAGCGGGGGAGGTACATCTCCAGGTCACCACAGGCCCCTCCACCCCCCCCCCCCCCCATTTCACTCATTAAGTTTACATGTCTGGCCCTTTGCATATTTCATTTTCAGAATCCAGCTTTAATTCATGAAATAATCATACTTTACCTTTTTAGTCATCTATTCACACCCATCATTGTCTCACCATCTCTTTAGTGGAGAATGTGTTAAGACCTTGGGCTCTGGCACTAGACTGTGTGAATTTGAATCCTGGCTCTGCTACTCCTCTTTGTGACCTTGGGCAGGCCACTTAACTTCTGTGTACTTCAGTTTCCTTATCTGTAATTCAGAGATAATAATCATATCTCTTTCAAAGGATTGTTTGAGAATCAAATATGTTAAATGTGATAATGCTTATAGCATGTTTAAAACAGCTCCTGAGCTATAATCTGTGCTCTGTAAATGCATTTTTGTTACAATTATTATTATGTGTAGAAACATCAAATGGGGGAGAAAATGTCCAAGGGAAATGAAAGAAAAATTGCTTCCTCCTTTCCTGTCCTTCCCCTTTCAAGGCAAGTCATCACTGGTTGTGTTCTTAGCCACACTGTCACTCAGGCAAGCAATCCGCTACCTTTTTTTTTTGAAAGATGGTTGAGAACTGGCATTTTAAGCAGTGGCTGAGCTGCTAAGGTAGGAAGAGCTCTGGGCTTGACTTTAGAAGTCCTGGAGTCGGCTAAGGTCTAGACAGGATGACTTTGCGCAGATCATGACAACCTCCTCGATTTACAGATGAGGACACTGAGTCCCAGGGACTTTGGCTGCAAGATCTACACAATCTCTTCCAGATCCCAAAGTCTTAGAGTTGGTTTCCAGCCAGTGCCAACCATAAATGAAGTCCTATGAAAAACAAAAAGGAACCGAGAATAGCATGGTCAAGAAATGTGTTTATTTCTTTATAGCCTAGGTCAAGGAAAGACCATGTTTATCCTTGTCATTCAGTTGTATGTTGGGAGTGATGAAGGTGGTGAGCCAGAAATTTTGTTGGTCTCCTTATTCAGAGGGTTGTTCCGGTAAATTTCATCACTATCACAGTACCCACCCCCTCCCCAGTACTGAAAGGGTACAGGCTCCCAGTGCTGTTCTTCCAGGCCCTGTACATTTTAAACAGTGCTCCAGTGACCTTGCTTTGTCTCATCCAGAGTGTCTCCAACACAGCCAATGCAACTTGTAATCACATATTGACACTTGAGGCACATGAGGGGATTTTCTTGTTGATTGCTGCCTGTGGGTCTCCTCCTTTCTACCCAGGTTTAGTCCTCTACCCCAACCCTATAACACCCTCTGCCCAACCCATCCCTGGGTCAAATGAACTGTGCTCCTTAGTAAGAAGAAAACCTTCACTGATGCAGTATTCTCAGGTCTGGAGAGTGTGGGAGAGGGTCCAGCCTGTTTGGGAGTAAATATGGGCTGCGAATTCCCAGAAGGAATTTGACAGAGGACACCCATGACTTTCCCTTCTTCTTCAACCTTGCTTACCTTGGCTGACAAGAGAACGTGCTTTCAAAGTGACAAGGCTGATATTTTTATTTGACTCAGGAATGCCATCCTTGTGCCTTTTTAATACCTATTTGATCAGACCATGAGGATGTCAGGGATGTATTTAACCTCCCACTGAGGGCCCAGAGCTGGTTGCCCAAGTGTTCTGATGAGTGGCATTGAGGACTGTTCTCCAAAATGAAAGAGGGGAGGGCAGACGTGGTGTGTCATGTCAGCAAACCCTCTCCCAGCTCCTTTTCAAATAAAAGTTTATGAAAAGAAGCACTAACTCAAATTGCAGAATCCTGTGTTTGAAGTAAATGGTCTCGCAACAAACATTTCCGTCTATGAATGTCTAAACCTTTCAGAAGATTAAAGGAAATTAGTGCTGGCGTGTTTCATTAATTTGGCACCATGGTGGAGGAAATGTGGTCCTCATTTCACTTGGATGGATTATGAAACGTGTCAGTTTTTCCATTCTCTCTCTCCAGGGCATTTTTTTACTGCAAGGCCTGTCATGATGACATCACAGATCCCAAAAGGATAAAAAAATGTGGCTGCAAACGGCGTAAGTAGTGTTTCTTTCCCCCTTCCCTCCCTCTCTCCTTCCTCTTTTCCCCCAATTCATTTCCCTTCTCCTTTTCTTTTTAAAGAAACACTAAACATCAAGAGGGTTCTTGAATATGTTTATGTTTCACCCCACAGTTTAAAGAGACATGAAATAAATACTTGTCCTCACTTGATCACAGCAGAGGATGGAAAATCGCCACCATCAACACCTTGGTGTGAGCCTCATGCCTAATCCCCACTTCTTGACTCTAAAGGGATGCCTAGGTAGCTGTGTCCATCAAACACAGTAAATGTGATCTATGTTTGAGATGGAGAGCAGCCGAGGCCCTGGAGGAGGGAGTGTTTTTGCATGGTGATTTTCAGTGGACTAGGGGCTCTCAAGTGTAAAGGTGGCTGTGCTAGGGTTGAAGGGAAGCTGAGTCTGAGGATTTGGGAACTGATTCTCTTCCCACTTGGGATCCTTGCTGGATTGGTTACCAGAGGTCAGAGTTTTTAGTTGTGATACCCTCAGACTGGCCCAAGGGAAGAACTTGGTCATCACCAATGGACTTTATATGCCATTGCCTGGTGACCAAATCTCAAACACCATACTCTTTGGGATGTATAGGCTGCTGGCCTATCTCATCTCAAACTCCTTACAAAGCAGCCAGTAGGACTTCTTGAGGAGGATGTGGTAAATCAGGAATGGTGTATGGTGAACTCTTGACCTAAAGCACTAGGACTTCAAGTGAAGCTTGCAGTCATTATATTGCATTGTCTAATAGAAGTTGTTCACAACCCTGGAGAAAACAGCAATAGTGATTCCTTCCTTCCTGTGGTGATTTTAATATTTCCAGAGCTCTTGAGCTCTTTATGATCATTGTTATCTTTGATCTTCAGCATAACCCTGCATAGTTGGCAGCAGGTATTATTAATCCCATTTTACAGAAAGAGGAAAGTGAGGCTCCAAGTTTAGCGGGAAGATGAGATTGATGAGATCACACAGATCCGACAGACAGGGGCTCAGGCTCACCTGAAGACCTCTCTTGATGTTATTCCCTAGTCTTTTTTGTAAGAGAGAAGGGCAAGGTGAGTGATCTTGGATCTGAAGAGTAAGAACCCAATTATAAAAGATCACACCACAAAATACTTTTTCACAAGCACGCACATGGGCTTGTGTCAATCTTGTGGCAAATGCTCATGGGAAGCACTCTTAGTCTGGAGACGTTTCTTCAGAAATATTCTAGGGCTGGTTCCCAAGCTTGGGGCAGCTTTGGTCCACTGACCTAACACATGGGTCTCCTTCACCTATCTCTGACACCTCACCATGCTGAATATCCATACCTCTAACTTCTTGGGGGCCTAAGAATTCTCTAATTCCGGCAGCCTGCCAGGAAGAGCATCTAAAATCCTGCAAAGACACAGAGCAAACTCACTTCTCATCCAGTCCGCCACACTCCATAGCTCAAAAGGCCCTTCTCACTGAGCAGTGTGCCCACTCAGCTCAGCTCGGTTGGTTGGAAACACAGAAACACAGCTCAGCTGACCAGGCATCGCCTGGATCACTTCCATCAGAAGGAACACAGCATCCCAAGGCAGAAGTACATGAGAGAGGAACAATAGGATGAACCCTTGTCAGAAAACCCTTGTAGTGGAGGGGTTGGGGGAATGCAGGAGAGCATTAATGCCAATAACCTTTGACCAGGTACTTGCCACTGAACCTGGTCCCGTAGGGTATCAGTGAAATGGCAAGGCTCCTTTCACTTGTCGGTCGGTCATTCACATGTGTTTGAGTGCCTTCTTTGTGCAAGGCACTATTCTTGGTGCCAGGGAGGGAGCAGTGAACAAGACAGTCCCTGCCCTCCTGGAGCCTTCACTCTAGTGAATGGAGATAAGCAGTGAGCATAGAAATAATTAAATACCTTCAGAGAGAGACAGGTGCTCTGAAGAGAGAGGAGACTGCCTGAGGGTGTGAGGGATCTTGTATGGATGCTGCTTTAGCTGGAAAGGTCTGGAAGGCCTTCCTTGGGAGATGATGCTGAAGCTGAGATTCAGTCCAGGTAAACAGCATGGGCAGAGGCAGGGATAAGTTGGTGGTGTTTGAGCAAAGGCAGAAAGGCCAGTGAGGCTGTTGGGGTCGGGGAGAGGTTGGTAGGAGATGAGGTCAGGCAGGGGCCATGGGAAGAAACTTGGGTTTTAGTCCTATAATAAATACAGCCATTACAAGAGTTTAAGCAAGTTAATGATATCATCAATTCTTGTTTTAAAGAATCTCCCTGGTGACTAGACAGAGAACAGGCTCTAGGGAGGCTAGAATGGAAATGGCAGGGAATGAGCGAGCGTCTCTGACTCCTGCTCGGATGCTGACATGTTCCTCACTGGGCACTGATGTGGAACCCAGCAGACAGGTTTTTAAGTCCCTGGAGATGAGAGTTTGGTCTCTAGGATATTTTTCCATCTTGATTCCAGGCAAGCAAGCGGCAGCTGACTTTAGCTTCATCCTGGAGAGAGAGGGACGTAATTGTTTGAAATAATTCTACTCTCATTACCTTTAACGTTGGTTCAGCTAGTGAATCAAACTATCTTCCATCCTTCAGGGTGGCCCAGACTGCTACAAAAGGACTGTCCCTGCAGAGCCAAGCAGTGAGATAGGGCCTCGCTCCCTCTCTCTGTACCCTTCTCCCCTTTTGGGCCTCCTAGAGGCCTTCAGCTGTGAGGCTGATGCTTGATGATGATCAGAGCTGTCCACATACCATTCTTCCTCATTAAAAGGCCAGAGCAGCCTGTGTTACAGCGGGTGGGATACAGATGCATATGTGTGCAGGGTGGTGAGAATAAAATAAATGATTAAACGTGAACTTCCCTGGGCATGCTGGGCAGGTTAGGAAATTGGGGAAGATAGATTTGGGTTGCAAAGAAACTTCTGTTAGAAGGAGCTAGAAGTTTTGATAATGCATGCAAATTGGGGTGGTTTCCTGCCTTTGAACACACACTGCCTGTAACCCTCAGTTGGAGAGGGCAGCTGCCCCATGCCTCCATTGTCCAAACCTGGCAGGCCAGGTATTAATAATTCATCCTGGAATGATATGTCTCTGGGAGGGCAGAGCTGATGACATCACTGGATTTTATGGTTTTCTAACCCTCCTCTCCCAACCTCGCTTTTCCCTTTCTAAATCTCCCCACCCCATGCCAACATCCCTATTCACCTTCATTCAGTCTTAAACGTCTTGTGTCATACTACCTGGAGAAATACTGAGTGTGGACCCTCTGTTTCTGGAAATTTTGTGGTAGTATAGTTTAACTTTTGCATTCTTTCCCATTTTTTCATAGTTCTCCATCCAGGAAGAGAGTCAAATTCAGCTGTCTGGCCAAGGAGCAAGTTCTCAGAATCTGCTATTTACTCATTTTCTTTTTCTGTGTAACAAATCCAGTCTAATGATTTCCTTTTTTCTCCCCCAGCTTCTAAAAGTTTGCCAAAAGGTGTACTCCTTGGGGACAAATCATGTTCTAAATTGCTGTGTTTTGAAGGAATTTTCTTTAACTTCTAATCATTGACGTATTTTTGATTTATTTTTTTTCTCTTTGCTGCCTTGGAATACGGCCCCTACTCTATTTTAACTGCACACTGGTAGTGATATATTGTGAGTAAAACGGGTTCCCAGCAGCCCAGAGTCCAGTTCCCCTTGTCTTTCTCTAGAAGAGATACTTCTTTTATTTTCTGTGCAGTTGCAGTTTCTTTTTTCTTTTGGTATTCATGTTGCATGTAGCAGTGACATCATGCCCCAACTCGGTCTGCAGAGTAGCCTGGAGCTAAAGAACCCTGCGAGCGGGGAACCCCTCTCTGTTCATCCACCTCCCACCCCCTCCATTGCCCCCCATGCCCCCCCTCCCTGCCAACCTCTTGCCAGCTTCTGGCATTGTCTTATTTTTCCACTTGAAAATAAGACCTTGACAACAGTGTTTCTCTTGAAGGCCTTGTCTCAGGGACCTTGAGGGGACACTGAGTCGGCTGAGGTAATTACCACTAGCTCTAGATCTCATCAATTGGGGGTCATTGTCATGCTTGCCTTTGATAAATTATACTTGGTCTCCTCTGCTATTAAGCTTGAATTCCTATCCCGAGGGAAACACATATGCTACATATATATTCCCATGTTGTGATATATATATATATAAGTACCAATACTTTATATGTAAAAATGTACATTTTTATATATAAGCATAGAGATATAGAGAGAGTGATGTATTTACTACACCATACATGCCTCTCTACACGAGTAAGTGCTTGAGAGAGAATTAATTGGACACCCAGCTTTGGGACTGTAAGTACCTAAATTGCCATACTGGAGACAAGTATTTCCATAGTGGTAATTATTTTCTATAGTCTGTGAAATACGTTTGCTTTAAAATAAAATTTCTCCCTCAGCAATACCCACTAGGACATACCTAGTTCCTGTATACCTAGACATCTTGCAAGATCTGCTTACTTGTTTAAGGCAGAAAGGGATGGTTCAGAGAGTATGTTCCATTTTATTAATCAGCTGTGTAGAAGCCCGCCTGGATGAGTAAATGTAAGTCTTTGAGCCCTATGTTACTCAAGGAATTGGACCATCTCTCCCAGCAAGATGTGGCAATTGATGAGGACCTTTTAGGCCAGTGTTTCCGTACGTGCCTTAGAATAGTGCTGCTTTCCATGGCACCAGCAACAAGCATCCATCTTTACTCGTGTACAAGAGACCCAACCTATAGACCACTTCAGTACAGCAGCCCTGGAATGTGGAGAAGCTGTTTCTGCACCTGGTTCTCTCTTATTCCTTTGCAGAAGAAGAAGAAAGTTGGTCATCTGGTTTGGGCTAGTCGTATGAGGGTATGGTACACTCTATGTACCAACAAAACAAAAGTGACCTTCAGTTTGGGGCAAAATTCTGCCAGAATTGACTCCATGGCTCCCTTTTTCTGCAGAACATCTTGAAAAATGGGTTGAGGACATGGATGGCTTTCCTTCCTGCCAAGCTGCCT